TACGTGTCATAGGAAATGCAGGTAACTTGAGCCATCTGGTTTAAACATTTTCCAAATGGTAGTCTTGTGTTCTTAAATGTATTTGTTTTTGTATTTTTTTGTTTTGTTTTTTTCAGACACATATGCTGCAGCAAGAGCTAAACTTAGCAGGGCCGAGGATACATCAGATTTACAAACTGACACTGAAGTTCCAATGAAGTGCAAAAGATTGTAAGTTAAAACTTGTTTTCTCCATTAGTGATTCTAGTTGGTGTTAGGAGCTATACTATACCAAAAACATATTATTTTGCTTAAATTTAAATATATATGTCTGTGGGTGACACCAACATTTTAGATAACAGTAACATTTCACAATTCTCAAAAATTTGTATACCAAAAAAAAAATTAAAAATAAATACTAGACTGACTAATTTAAAATTCATACATTATTAAAGACAAGTGAACAGCAAGTAATAAAATATGAACAGCACAAATAAATACAATAGTAAAAAGATACAAGTGAAGTAAAAAGTTTATTCAGGTTGGTATAACAGTAATATTCAGGTACACTGCAAAAAATGCTTTTCTAGCTTAGATTTTTTGTCTTGTTTCCAGCCAAAATATCTAAAAATTCTTAAATCAAGAAGGATTTTCTAGACAAGTAAAAATGGTCTTGTTTTCAGAAAAAACAAGTCGAATTTAAGTGAGTTTTTACTTGAAACAAGCAAAATAATCTGCCAATGGGGTAAGCAAAATAATCTTGTAGAATTGCCAGTGAAATCTTTGCCATATTTCTCATCATCAGTGACTTTTCTCATGATGTGTGAACATTAGTGAAACTGATCTGTCTCATTCTTATCTGATTACAATATTGATTTTTCCTGAGTCTCTTCACTTCAAGTGTATAATAATTCTGCCTTGACTGGTTATCGTGGCTTGAAATTTTTATCGACCCATGTATTGTTCCGCAGTGTCTTGGGCCAATTTGCTTGGATTCTTGGGACAGACCAGGGTCAGAAAGTAGCTGTGTTGCACAACTCACTCTTTAACCCCACTTTCACAGGAAACAGATTTGTGTGAGAAACCCAGTCAAGTTTAATTAACTTTCTCCGCAGTCAAAGCCCCGTGCTGTGAGTATGTGTGTCTTTTTTGGAAAGAACTCAGTGCCTATGGATTCCTCCCTAAAAGTCACACACACACACACACACACACACACACACACGATGCGTTACTCTGCGCTGCGCAAAACTCCACATTTGAACAGTCAATCGCAAATACTTAAACTAATAACAAAACATTCTTACAGTCGCTGATTCAGAAGCGCCAGATTGTCATATAGCAAAGTCGGAATTTACCCTTTTTTTTTTTTTTTAGAAATAACCTTTGTGAGCAGCCAGCTTTGTACTCTTCTAGGTTCAAAAAACTGTCGTCCATAAAATGCGTTGCACAGATTCGAACATCTGGGTTGTGCTGTTCTGTTGTAAATAAATCTTAACCAATGATTCCTAATTGCATCTACTTCCGGAAGGCCAAATAAAGTGCTTTTGCTTTCGCACTGATACACACAGCATCTCCCTGACATGGCTGCATCAACACTACTGCTGTTCCTGAAACCACGCCTTCTTTCTTTGCATGCACATTTGGGCAACATTATGCTAATCTTCCCACATAGTGACGTAGATATGTGGGGGCCGTGTTAGAACGAGCCGTTTTAGGTAGGCGTGGCTGACTCTTAACTTTTATAAAGAATATCTCTTTGGATTTGAGACTTTAGTCTTTGCAACTTTACAGATCTTCTTTATGCACCAAGAGCTTGTAACACTCCAAAGAGAAAGGAAAAATTGAAATAGCATTATATGACCCCTTTAAAAAGCTGTAATATTGAGTTAATACATATCTAAGAAAAAACAAACCAACACATTCTTACCTGTGAAAGTTTATCTAATTTTTCAGGAATTTAAATTTTGGCGTTTTGTTGCAACCAGAGGCTGCGCAATGTTGTGATATCTCACTGATTGACAAAACTCATTGGTTTCTATTGTAAGTGACCACACATGGGCCGTTCCGAGATGGCGGACGCGTCGACGTGTCTGGAGCACTCAAATGTGGCGTCTACCTACATATCTAAGTGTGTATCAGTATATTATATCTATGCGTGAGGTCTTAAAGAGACAGTAGCCTAAATAAACCTGCTACTGTCAGTGTCATTAATGTTAATCAAACAACATAAGAGTAGTGTTGTCAAAGGTACCGACTTCGGTATCAGCTGGTATTTAAATTTTAAAAATGTTACGATACCAGCAATTTCCTGCGAGCATTTTGAGCGGATTCTTAAAACACCTCTGATTGGCCATTGTTCATGTGCTCAACAGATATGTCTGTAATTGGGTACAATGATCATTGATTCACGCTCTTCACTGAGTGCTTACACAGACACACACGGGAGCATTTGAAATCCGCATCTGTCAGCGGATCCCTAATATATCTGCTCATAGACAGATCCTCTGAGACGCGGCTTTCAAATGCTCGCATGTGTGTCTGTGTAAGCGCTCAGTGAAGAGCGTGAATCAATGATCATTGTACCCAATCACAGACACATCTGTTGAGCACATGAAAACAATGGCCAATCAGAGGTGTTTTAAGAATCCGCTCAAAATGCTCGCAGGAAATTGCTGGTATCGTAACATTTTTTGAATTTCAATACCAGCTGATACCGAAGTCGGTACCTTTGACAACACTACACAACACAACACGATGATTAATGTAGTCAATCACAGATATATCTGTTAAACGCGTGAACAAGTGCTGGAAATGCTGGTATCGCCACATTTTGGGTGTTGGAAAAGTGCTATATAAATAAAAATGATTACTATTGTTTTAAAAATGTCAGTACCGACTGGTACTGAAGACGGTACTTTTGAAAACACTATAAGAAAGAGAGAAAATCTAAAATGAAATTCAGGTTCTGAGATCACTCTGCAGGTGAACTGATTTACGCATGTCATCTACAAATAATTTTGTTTGTGTTTGTACTTAGGTTGCAAAAGTAGCAGATATTGGTGGTTCTTCATTGGATGATGCTACAAGGAGGATGATGAGATTCCTGATTTCAAATGAATTGGCGATTCAGTACAATCTCTTTGGCCGTCATGGCAAGAAAAGATTTCGAGATCTGCGCCCTTTTGACGTCATATGTGGTAAATGTGTTTTATTGTTTAACTACTCATACAGATTTATGTTTAAAGCTCTTTTCACAATGCACACTTATGGACACTACAATTCTCAATATTATATTGAACCATTCGGTATGACATCCACGTATCATTAACAATCATAATGCCAGGCTTACATTACTCCGTTTGCAGTGTGTATGCAGTGAGTATTTTTTCCGCGCTCATGTTAACGGATTAAAGCATTCACCCTGCACACGGTTACGATACAGCAGTGCGTTCCAGGAGCAGTGCATCTGCAGCAGTGCAGAAATCGTTTCTGCACTGAGTCCATTTTTGCTCAATGTTGTGGCTGCAAGCACTGAATTAAAGAAACAGCGCATTGTTTACGGTAAATATGAACACGGATTGACACGAAAATGTAGTAATTACTCCATAAATGCATATAATTAAAGTAGGGCTGTGTGATATGGACAAAAAAAACTATCGCGATTTCTTTGATCAATTTTGCGATTTCAATTTTAATTACGATTTTGACACACACAGACATGCTTTAAAGTCATTAATGCATTCAGTGTGAATTTGAAACCTATTTCCAAAAGAAAACCAATTAGAGCTTTATCAAAAAGCTGTAACATGTCTTTAGAACAGACATAAGGCAAAATAATCACTAAGTAAAGGTGTAACAAAATGTCTCTAGAATAGACATATATGGCAGAAAAAAAA